CGGCACTGCTATTAAGGCAACATTTCATTAATAAGAGCTGGTTGAAAAGCACCTTCATTGGGTTCTTTACTACCTCCTTATACTGGATTTTGGTTCTCATCTATCCAGCTTTTATAAAACAAAATGGTCAGAACACTTGAAACAAAGTAAGATTTGCATTTTCAGTCATCAGCCACTCCTTTAAGTAACCTCAGTGCAAGCAGACTCTCTGACAGTCTTTTCCCTGAATCTCCTCCACACGTTCCTTCATGATGTTAAGGAAAAGTGACGAGGAAAAGATGTTTTGGACTAATAAACTGCAAACACTGAAAGTCAGTGTAAGTGAAATTTCTCTTTATTTCACTGACAAAAGCTAAAACATTAAACTCAACTAGTATTTTTGGTAAATAGTAGTTATAATCAAACTGATATAAACACAACTGTATGCGTTTGTGTGCGTGTGCGGCCTCCTCACCCATGAAGATGAAGAGGACGCCTCCCACTCGGGCGCGGCGCTTCTTCACAGCTGAGGTGTCGTTCTGCAGACGCACGCAGGCCATGGACATGAGGATCAGGAGCGTGGCGGGGAGACCCAGCAAACACGCGCAGATCATCAGAGCACGAGCTGTCTGCACGTAGGCTGAGAGGGAGGGAGAGAGAGAGCATCTGTTTGCTTTAAAGTACTCAGCACAGCTCACCTCTGGCACTCAACGAGGCGCTGCTCACAGTTAGGAATGTGCACATGTGAGCATGCACTGAAGACAAGAAAAAGATGCAAGAAAACCTCTTTAGCCAGATTACTTTACTCAGAAAGTAATGTCTAATCTTGCTCTTTGCTCAGTCAAACACAGTCTGACGTCACTCTTCACGTCTTCACTGAACACACAGAGAATAAATCCAAAGTAATAACACACTGGTGTTAATGACTTCTCCAAAAGCTCATGAGGGACAAACCCCACTCGGTTTTAAACACCTGGGACTCTCAGGCTTCTGGTTTAGAAGTGAAGAGGCTACTTAAAGCACGTAAAGAAGCCCAGTCATTTTTCTGTCAAGCTGTTAAGATCTACAGAAATCTCAACAACTGTGCAAAAGACCAGGAGAAAGCTCAACCTTTGGCAGGCGTCTCTGTGTTAGCTGGGTCTGTTAACTGGAACCACCTGTCAGAGATGCCTGGTATCAACTTTCTTTGTTAATCCAGGCTAAACGATGACTCGCCCAAAGTGCACATCTAGATAAAAATCAGTCAGTGGGGACAACGAGGAGAAACCACCACCTGCTAAACCATTCCCAGTTTGGGTTTGTTGTCTCTCCACCTGCTGCACTTTACTTTTGCACCAAGTGGGTAAGATGGATGCTCAGTGCTTTATGCTTCCTAACAACATAGATTAAAATCCCCGAAGTTTAACTGACTTTGTGATATATTCTGTTTTTGAGTAGTGAATAAAAGGCTGATAAATTCCTTCAATTATGCACTGTTTGGTAAACGTGCAGAAGCACTCCGGTTGTTTTTGTAATCAGCACAGGTTTGTTTGGTAGTAAACAAATTAAAAGCTCAAAAAGTGGAAAAATTGGCTTTTACATTGTTGTTTATAGTTTGATATAAAACACGTGTGAAATTAATAGTCAGTATTTATAATACTGAGTACGAGAATAGAACTATACTCCTATAAAGAGAGAAAACATTATTGAAATGTGATGAAAAATGTTTTATACCATAAAGCTGTTTAATTTAAAGAGTTTAAATGACCAGTTATATTTGTTTCTTTAAATAAAGCTTATAAGTTACCATAGTTTCCACAAAGTGTTCGTTCTACACTTCCCATCCTTCCTTTCACAATAAAAGTTATAAATTGTGTGATTGCTGTATATTAAAGTGGTCTATAGAGGTGTGTCAAAGCAGTTTATGATCGATTATAGCTTCAAAATAAATATATATATAAAAAATTAAATTCATATTAAAATGATATTTGACTGATGTTCTTATAAAATGTAAGATTTATTTAT